TTTTTTAAAGATTAAATTTTCTTTTATGTGTATGGGTGTTTTGCCTGCATAGATGCCCGTATCCGGTGCGTGTTATGGGTGCCAGAGGAGACCAGCTGAGGGTTCTGAATGCCCTAGAACTGATGTACAGACACTTGAGCTGCCATGTGGGTGCTGGCTTTTGTTTTTATTTATTTATTTACTTACCTTTTGTTATTGTTTGAGACAGAGTTTCTCTGTGTAGCTCTGACTGTCCTGGAACTCACTCTGTGGACCACACTGGCCTCAAACTCTCAGAGATCCGCCTGCCTCTGCCTCCTACATGCTGGGATTAAAGGTGTGTGCCACCACTGCCCGGCTGTAGCTGGCACTCTGAGCACATTTTACTTTGTGTGCATGTGTGTATGCGTGTGCGTGAGTGTGCTTGTGTGTGTGTGTGTGTGTGTGTGTGTCACAGCCAGTGTATAGAGGGTAGAGGACAATGTGCAGGAGTCAGTTCCCTCCTACTGCCTTGTGGGTCCTGGGGGTCAAACTGAGGCTTGGCAGCAGGCACCTTACCTGAGGTGCCATCTTATTGGCCTGGCGAGTCCCAGGGCTCTCAGCACTCCTTCACACTCACAAGAGGGAGATCGCTGTCAACACCGTAGAGGTCAACAAGATAATAAGCATTCAGTCAGCCATGTGAAAACTCCCAGATCCAGAAATCAACAATTGAGATTTCTCCTGAAGAACACACAAGTGAGTGCCTTCATCTTACGCTTTGTGGGCAAAACTGACCAGCAAGAGGACTCAACTCTGTCATCAGAGATGACTGGACCACAAAAGGAGAAAGAGATGGTTTATTCTGGACCCCATTATGAGTAACCATGGCCTGGCAACCCTAAACACCATGTTCCAACACGGAAAGGGGTATGTGACGTTTCTATGGTTGTAGAAATAAAGAAAACAGTGGATCAAGCCCCCTTTGAAATATTCAGAGGGGAACAGCCTGTAAAGGGGTGGGGGAATTTCTTCTGTAGTTGGCAGACTCTTTCTGAAGGGTCTATTTGTCCGACTTTAGTTAGGGGAAAGCTTGTGTATGTTAATTAAACGTGCCAGAAGGTTTCACTGTTAGTCACAAGGATGTCAGGGCACACACTCAGGCGGGCATTGAGGGGATATTGAGGGAGCTAAGGGTAGCCCAAGATCATTTGGTGTAGGACCTGCAACAGCCCAGCTCTCCCTAGTGAGGCGTTCTGATGGGCGGGCAGGCAGGCAGCTGCGTGCGTGCGTTTTCCTCCGGGACTCTCAGCTCAGAGCATGCCTTTTGCATCAATCAAGAGAGCCAGAGGGAACAGCTGCACAACCTCCTGGGGGTGCTGGAGCTAGGAGTTCTTCAGGATGAACCATTGGCAAAATCTCCTCTCAGCAGAGTAAGCGTTCGGAAGTTCTCTGTTTAATCACACATGGTTGGTTACAGAGCAGGTTAGGCTCACGTTCATCAAATGTGACCATGAGAGAAAGAAAAGGGAAAGAAGCAAAGACCAGCCATTTGTGGTGGCTCATGCCTGCCATTCCAGCACTTGTAAAGCTGAGGCAGGAGGATGGCTGGGAGTTTGAAGCCAACCTGAGCTTCATAGTGAGACCCTGTCTTAAAAAGGGGGGGGGAGTGAGAGATGAGAGAATGAAAGCAAGAGAACGAAGAGAAGAAAATAAAAACAAAAGAAAGGGAGAGGGGACGGAAGGGGGAAGGGAAGGGAGGGAGGAGGGGAGGGAGGAAACGGAAACTTTGGATGATATGGAGACTCTGGGCAAAATGGAGGTGTGGGGCTGGGGCTTGCCTTATGAGCTGAGGGACCAGGCGGCATCCCCCAATGTGGCAGAAAGCAGAAAGCAATACTCCAAACAGACAATATTTATGCAGGAGAAAACCAAAAGACAAAACCCCACCCGTCAAAGACAGTCTGCGGGCGCCTGCATGTAAATGTCTACAGTCTCCGGGAAGGAACTCAAGCCATGACGTGCTCTTCTCAAGCCATGACGTGCTCTTCTCAAGCCATGACGTGCTCTTCAGCTGCGGAAAGGGACAAAACCCCAAACCGTGTTTTTCTTTTCCGTGAGTCACACAGAGGGTCAGCTTCTGAAAAGCGTAGTCTAAAGACTTAGCCACTGAGTTCGGACATGGTGGTGTATACTGCTAATATCAGCACTCGGGAGACAGAGGCAGGCGGTTCTCTGGGAGTTGGAGACCAGCCTGAGCTACAGAGTGAGTTCTACAACAGGCAGAGCTACGTAGAGAAACTTTGTTTTGAACCACCCCTCAAAAAATAAAAGTAAATTAAAAAGGAGGAGAAGAGGAAGGAAGAAGAGGAGGAGGAGGGGGAGAAAGAGGGGGAGGAGGAGGAGGGGGAGAAAGAGGAGGGGGAGGAGGGGGGAGGAGAATGAGGGGGAAGAGGAGGGGAAGGAGGAAGGGGAAGAGGAAGGGGAGGAGGAGGAGGGGGAGGAAATGGCCACTTAGGTTGGACTGGCTTGGAGCTGGGATCTGTTGTCTCTCCCAGAGCTGTCATTACAGGCTCAAAGCCCCAGGCCTGGATGTTTGCATGGGAGCTGCAGCCCTGGACTCAGCCCCCTCCTCAAGATCCCTATCTAGTGGGAGTGGAGATTGGCAAACTTAAACTCACTTTTGTTTTATCATCGATTTTTATTTTGATGAAATCCAGGTCATATAATACTATTGTTAAAAAAACATCGTAGCCAAAGCATACAACCCAGTGGCCACATTTCTATAGACAGAGAGCCACTGACACCCCATCTCCACTCACAAAGCACCCCCAGTTCTGGCACCTTGACTCGCTTCTTAAGTCTGTGTGGATCTGGACTCCTGTGAGAAGGCCTGCAGCCTGCATCCTACTGAGTCTGGCTTGGAACCAGGTGTCTCTGAACGCCATTCCTCTTTATGGTTGAGTAATATTCCCAGGCTGTGTTGTCGGTCTGTAGGCTTTTACTTACTAATATCATAAATCAAGCTCCTACACAGTTGGGTGTCACCGAAGGGGAAGTTTCAAGGCTGTACCTGTTGACATCATCCCATGTGGACTCTGGAGATTCCCTGCTAGAATTTTTGGCTTTATTAACCCCCAGTGCTCAGACTTTGAAAGTCAGAGCCCTTTCCCCATCACAGTTTGTTTCCACTGAGGTCATTTTTATTTCACGTTAGAACACATCCTTTTACGGTTTAAACTAACTGGGACACAGCAGAGAACGCAGGGTTTCCCTGTAACCCAATGAATGTTCCCAGCTGTGGATATTTGCTGTGGCCTAAATGAACGTGTTCCCAGAGTCCACACGGTGGAACTGGACAGCCTGCTGGACAGCATCAAGATGTAGAGGGTCCGGGCAGACCTGGGTCTAGCAGCCTTGTCAATTCGTGTGTGATGGTGTGTGTGTGTGATGGTGTGTGTGTGTGATGGTGTGTGTGTGTGTGTGTGTGTGTGTGTGTGTCTGGGACGACGGGGAGGAGGGTGGAGACAGGAGGAACCCAGGAAGCTCAACGGGTGAGCTTCCGGTTCCGGTTCCGTTCCAGTTCGGGGAGAGAACCCGCCTCAAAACAAAAACCATGTCATCTTGCAAGCAAACTGCAGGTGCCGAGCTCAGAATGCAGCGCACATCTTGTAGGGAAAAGGGACCATTCAAAGAAACACACCCTGAGCAGAGCCAAAGAAACACACTTTGGCCCTGCAACCAGAACCAAAGAAATGTACCCTGACCCTAAAACCAGTGCCAAAGGAACACACTTTGTCCCTGGAATCAGAGTCAGTGAAAGAAATGTACCCTGGCCCTAAAATTGGAGCCAAAAGGCTAAAAAGGACCAGAGAAAGAAACACACTTTGGCCCTGAAACCAGAGCCAAATCTGACCCTAATCCTGTGTAAAAAAGTAACCAATCCCGGAGCAGAGCTCTAGCCAATCTGAGCTCAGCACTGAAATCGGACCAATCCCTACCCTGGAAAAACTTCCCCAACCCCAGGAACCCCTATATAAACCCTGTGTATGTTCAGCTTGGCTGGTCCAGCTGTCTTCCAATAAACACCTTTGGATGAGCTTGCGGCTGCGACAGAGCAAAGGCGACCCTGGGCAGAGCAGAGCAGAGCGAGCAGAGGCGACCCTGGGCAGAGCAGAGCAGAGCAGAGCGAGCAGCGCTGTAACACTTGCCCGGGAAACCTTCCTTGGCAGAGCGGAGTTGTTACACTCTGCTCCCGCCCGGCTCCCTGCTCTCCGCTCTCGGCTCTCCAGGAGCAGAGCTGAACTGTAGCAACTTCTCCCGAGAAACCTCCTGCGGAGCAAAACTGCTACACTAGGCGAACATCCCCAGCTGGAAGACCCTGTCCTGCCGGAGCGGAGCTGACACACCGGAGAAGCCTTTCTCTGAGGCAAGGCTGTAAGCTGCCAAGCTTACTGCAACCTGTGGTGGTCCTTGGCTCCCGAGCTCCAGGATACCTTTCCACCTGAGCTGTGTAACACTGGGTATTCTGTGACTCCCGAGTGCCAGAATACCTGACCCACTCCTGTTCCATCCTGTCCTGACCCATCCCGACGAAACGCTTACACATCTGGTCTTGGGAAAAGATGCTGTCCGGGGAGAGATGTCTTCCAGGTCTCAATGTTTACAGGCCAGGCATGGAGCTCTGGGAGTGAAGTCTGCACTGCTGGGGTCTCCTTGCTTTGGCTTCGTGTCCCCACCCCCTCCCCCTTATTCCATCTTTCCCTCTTGAGAACTGGATGATTTATTCTCAAGTCATAGGAAAAGACTCTGGGCCCCCAACTTGTGGCACTATTTTGGGACGCTGTGGACTTCTTGGGAGGCGGGGCCTAGCTGTGACCCATCAACAGGGGTGCTTTGCTGTGTCCCCACCCTGAAGCAGACAACTCCACGGTGCTTAGGGGGTTAGTAAGAAGAACAATAACAAAAAAATAAAACTCAAAAAAGGCCGCGAGGCTGGGAGGGAGATAGGGGGAGATGGAAGGAAGTACAGCAGACGGATATGTGTACTATACATTTATAAATATGTAGAACTTGCAACGAATAAAACTTACTATTAACAAAATAAGAAAACAATTTTAGAAGCTCCACAAGCCATCCAGGAGTTGTGGTCAGGGGTATACCCAGTGAATGCCAAAGAAAGTCTCCTCAGCATTGCGGGAAGGCAGCAGAGGCAGGGTAAGGTTGGTGCAGAGGACGTCCCCAAGGGCTAGATGAGTCAGGCGCTGGGATGCCACGGTGCAGCCCCGTCCAAAGGGCAGACGCAATAGGCTGATACTGTGGGCCGCGGGGGAGCAGATGCCCACGGCCACCATGGCCCTGTGCTGCATGGTGCTGTATTCAGAAGAGCAGTTGGCCAGTGTCACTTGGATATGCAGCCTGTAGATGCCCTCACGATGGATATACAGCTGCCCCCTCTCCAGCCCTGGTCCACGAGTGAAGGATCTTCCCAAGGTTGGGCCGGCTGCCCAGCGCAGGGTGGGGTCTTTCCGAGGAACTGTGGGTGGGCAGAAGGGAAGGGGAATGGAGGTTAGGTGGGCAGTGGGATTTAGAACTGATGGGGAGGGAGGGAGGTGAGGGACTTTTTTTTTGGTTTTTCGAGACAGGGTTTCTCTGTATTGTTTTGGAGACTGTCCTGGAACTCGCTCTGTAGACCAGGCTGGCCTCAAACTCACAGAGATCCGCCTGCCTCTGCCTCCCAAGTGCTGGGATTAAAGGCGTGTACCACCAACGCCTGGCTGAGGTGAGGGACTTAAAGGAGGGAGAAGAAACGAGAGAGGGAGGTGGATGGGCAACCGGGATGCTAGGGGAGGCAGTTAGAGAAAGGAGGATAGAGACGGAGAGAGAATGACACATGCAGAGAGAGAGAGAGAGAGAGAGAGAGATGCAAAAATATGATGGAGACAGGGAGATTGAACACACATGTCAGAGAGATGGCTACCTGTATGGAAAGACAAATGGGCATAGGAAGAGTCAGAGAGAGATGGTGCAGGGAATGCCTAGGCTCTGCTATGCCTCCCTCCCCCTGCCACCCTGATGCCTGGGAACTTCCTCTATGTCCCATCAAATCCCAGTCCCACCTGCTCCGTCTCCAGCAATAAATACCCTTGGCCCAGTTCAGAGGACCACAAGGGTTTGGGCCAGCATGGTGATGTTTCTTGGGCAAGAAGAAACTGGTCATGGACTTGACACGTTACACCCTCTACCAGGATGAAGAGGAGACCTAGCAAAGCCCCTGGTTAAGTATCCTTGTGATGGCTCACCAGATTGTCAGCTGAGGCCTAGAGTCCCAATGGAAGCAAATCTGTCACCAGTCATCTCGATGATGCTAACTGAGGTGGGAGATCTACCTTGAAGGTGGTAGGCACTGTGACGTGGGGGCGGGGTTCCTGGACTGGATACACAGAAGAAAGCACTAAATGCTCTCTCTGCTTCCTGACAGCCTCCCCTCCATGATGGACTACAGCTCAAATCTCCAGTATAGCCGGCAGAAGCTCTTTCTCCCTTAAGTTGCCTTTGATTGTTATTTGGTTTTGTTATTTTGTTCCAGCAATGAAACAAAGATCTTGATTGCCAGCCAGAGCAGCTAACTCAGGGGACAGAGAGAGAGAGAGAGAGAGAGAGAGAGAGAGAGAGAGAGAGAGAGAGAGAGGGAGGGAGGGAGGGAGGGAGGGAGGGAGGGAGGGAGAGAGAGAGGGAGAAAGAGAGAGAGGGAGAGAGAGAAAGAGAGGGAGGGAGAAAGAGAGAGGGAGAGAGAGAGAAGAGAGAGAGAGAGGGAGGGAGGGAGGGAGAAAGAGGGAGAGAGAGAAAGAGAGGAAGAGGGGGGAGGGAATCCCTTTAGTTAGTTACTGATTTTGAGATGGGATCTTGCTATAAAGGATACCCTCAAATTCAGTTTCCCTGCCTCTTGTAGTACTAGAAGGACGAGGGTGCCAGCATGCTTCAACAGGATGGATTTACTACAGTTATGGCTAGTTGGTTATTAGTGCTGAGGTCCAAGGTAGTTATCTAAGTACTAATGCTACTATTAGAAGTTTTTAAATTTTGGGGCAAAATCTTGCTTGTAGCCTAAGCTACAGATTGCATGACAGGTGTGTATCACCATACGCCGTAGGGCCTCACTTGGAAGGACAGATCCAAGCCTAGCAAACCACAAGGATCACTTTGGCTTAATTCTCTTTGCCTAATTTTCAGCACCTGTGCTTTCCTTGGCTTGTTTGTAGGAGTGTCAAGGAACCCAGAATCTCCCGTATGTTTTGAAAGTACTCACTGGGGGATTCTAAGTGGGGGTTCCACCATGACCACACCCCCAGCCCCTCACTGGGGGATTCTAGGCAGGGGCTCCATCATGACCACACCCCCAACCCCTCACTGGGGGGCTTCTAGGCGGGGACTCCATCATGACCACACCCCCAACCCCTCACTGGGGGGCTTCTAGGCAGGGACTCCATCATGACCACACCCCCAGCCCCTCACTGGGGGCTTCTAGGCAGGGACTCCATCATGACCACACCCCCAGCCCCTCACTGGGGGATTCTAGGCAGGGCTCCGTGCCTGAGCCACTCCTACCCCACTCCTCCTCACCCTCTCACTAAGATGCAGCCTGCTCATAGACATGAACACCATGTGTGGAGAAAACAAAGGGATGTGAGTAGCTCCATCACCGTAGCTGCTTGTGTGGTGCTGAGCTTTGTGAGGAAAGGAGAGGATGGTGGGGTGGTGTGTTCCTGGAATCACGAGTCCCCATCTTACTCTAGCCTCTGTACCTCCATTTACATCTTCTCTTTCTTTCCCCCTTTCTCACTGTTTTTGGAGACAAAATCTCTTATAGTCCAAACTGGCCTTGAACTCAATGGCCTTGTATTCCTGGGTCTTCTGCTTGTACCTCCCCTGTGCTGGGATGACAGGTGTGCACCACCACAGCTGGTTTATGTGGTGCTGGGCTGGAAGCCAGGGCCTTGTGAGCCAGGCAGCGCTCTAACCAGTGAGCAACATCCCACATTGTGTTCTCTCTCTCTCTCTCTCTCTCTCTCTCTCTCTCTCTCTCTCTCTCTCTCTCTCTCTCTCTCTCTCTCTCTATTTTCATGAGATGACCCCATATTATTCAGATTGGCTTCAAACTTCCAAAGTTGCAGAGGATGATCCTGAGTTCCTAACCCTCCTTCCTGCCTCTGTTGCCCAAATGCTGGGATGACGAGGGTGGACCGGCAGCTTGCTTTATGTGTTGCTGAGGATGGCTCCCAGGGCCTCCAGGGTGCTGGGTGCAGGAGCCACTCCCTTCCTATATCCGTCCCTCCCTCCCTCCCTCCCGTCCCCACCTTCCACCCCCTTGGATTTTCAACCTCACCTGTGAGATTCAGCTGTAATTCAGCTATATGCACCTGGAAAAAGAAAACAGAAAGCACATGAGTGCCCGGAGTTTGAGAGGTCCATGTGCCTGCTTGCTGCCGCCCTTCCTGCATTCCCACCGGCGATTCCCAACCTCCCCCCCCCCCCCCGTTGTAAAGTCTTATCCAGTCCCATGCGAAGTTGTAGTAACAAGATCGCTGAAAAAAAAGTTTACTGGTTTGTTTTCCTGAAACTGGCGGTGGGGGTGGGGGGCGCTCAGGCCATCCTTTCCACCACTTGAGAGACCTTTCAGTCCCGGGAAGCTCCGATCTCCCCTCCCCCCCGTAGCTTCGTGAGCACCCCCGCTGCGACTGCGTCAGTCCAGGGTGTGGTGGGGAACGCCGGGGGCCCGGCCAAGTCATCTCAGCAGCTCAAGGCTGCGTCTTTCCCAGCTCGGTATCCCCCGTGTGCTCCCAGGCAGCTGGGACCGGCCTGGCTGCCCTGCTCGGCTTCTCCTGGCTTCTGTCTGTTTCATCTTCCTCTTCTCCACCTTTTGCGTTCTGATTTTGCCTCCTTTTCCGTGTCCTGGGCTTGCGCTCTTGCGCAGCCTCCAAGCGCATCCTCCCCGAGCCTGTCCGGTCCCCTCCAGAGTACCTGAGTGCTTCCCTCCCTGCTTCCCCGTCTCTGCTCTCACCTCAAGTGGATTCAGCTGCGTCTGCTTCGGCCTCCATAACTGGCCACAGATGATCAAGCAGCAAATCCCAATACTGAGCAGCAACAGGTGAATAAGGCGCAGGGCGGTGGCCCAGCTCGGGCGTGGCAGCACCCAGGGGCAAGGGCGACCTTCCTCGGCCGCCCCTGCCGGCGGGCGCTGCATCCTCTGATGGCGACGGCCAGAAGGCATCCGGAAGCTACAACCTCTTCAGCCGAGTTTTTGTGACTTCTGCCTGTCTTGACCTGCCCTTTGAACCCCGGGGATGTCCGATGCAGGGGAAGAACGGAGCCTCTCTTCTCATCTGGTAGGGAAATCCCCTGGAACTTGTGGCAGGCACCCACCCCCTGCCATCTTGCAGCCCGGTGCACCCCAGCCCGTCCCTCAGGCTCAGAACATTCTGTACCTACCCAGCCCCTGCTGCTTCTGCCTGGTGTTCATTCGTTCGTTCATTCATTCATTCATTCATTCATTCATTCAACAAACCATTTATTGAGCATCTATTAGTGCTTCAGTACTGGGCGGGGTTGCTAGGAAATCAGCAAGCACCTGCATCCAGGGATCCCACGTGCTCCCCCAAGTATTTGGAGGCACTTGCATGTGGGCCGTTATAAACATCCCACATTGGAACTCATTATATATAGCCCAGGTTGGCCTACAACTTGTCCTGTTGCCCAGAGTGACCTGCATATCAAGTACCCAAGGCAGGTGTGGACTTGTAGCCCAGGCTGGCCTCTGACTCATCTTTCTGACCCCGGGTGTGAGCCACCACACCTGGCTTTGCCCTGATGGCTAGCACATTCAGTAGCCACTGTCCCCCTGGTTCATGCCCCTTGGGAGCGGAGACCATGACCCGATTTGAAAGAAGACAGAGCTGATGTACTCAGGAGCTCACTGCAGCTGTGCTTGTTAGCACAAGATGGCCCTGCAAGGTTCGACGCGGATGAGGGAGGGGCCATGAGACCCCTCTCCTTCCTGCGGCCATTGCTTCAGGAAACCAGGGTCTCACCCACAACCCAGTGTGGCTGACACAGAGCAGCTGAGAGTTGACTTAGAGCCAGCAGCGAAGCATGGAAACACCCCCTAGAGAGGGGGCAGAGCTGGGCGGCAGTCACCCCTCCCTGGCAGGCCTGGGGCTCCTATCTCTCCCATCCCTGATGTCCCCTCCTCTAGGCCTCCCCGGCTAGGCCTCCAAGAGAGCCGTGTGTTCTTCATGGAAACCCATTCAACCTGGAATCCATATTGTTCTATAAGATGGTGGACACATCTTCCAGCTCAAGTCCCCCGAAGCTGAGACTTTCACTACAGGAAAGGACATCGGGGAGAGGCTGCCTCTGAAACAGGTCTAAGCCAGCTTAGAGGCCACCGACACCTTCATGTCCTGTTTTGGGGGGAACTTGTTGGCAAGTGGCCCCTGAATTTCAGATGTAGTCAGATTTACATGGGGCCAGAGAGATGTCTTGGTGGTTAAGACTGAGTTCCTTCCAGAGGACTCAGTTCCCAGAACCCATGTCACGTGGCTTAGAAAGGCCTGGAATCCCAGTTCCAGGAGGATTTGGCATCTCTGGTTTCCATGGTCACCTGGACTATGTGCACACACCCTCCCCATACACATAAACAAAACAAACCTTTTAAAAAATATGAAGGGTGCTGGGGAGATGTCCCAGGGCCTTGTTGAGCAAGCATGAGAACCCCCTAGTTTGATCCCTGAAAATGGGGTGCAGCAGTGCCTGCCAATTACCGCAGCTGAACAGGAGGCCCCTCAGCCGCTCACCGCCCAGCCTGGCTGAAATGGAGCGCCAGGCTCAGTGCGGGACCCGGGTGGAGGGCGGAGGAAAACAGCTGGAGACCTCCTGCCTCCACACGCATCTGCAAGAGTGATGCACCCTGGCTCTTACACATGTATACTCAGAGCGGAGACACCCGGGAAGTAGGCACTTGGGACCTGTGAAGAGCTCAGCAGAGTGCAGCCGCCATCCGAGAGGACAGAGTGACTTCAGCCTTCAGAGGCAATGTGGCCTCTCTGACACCTTGTTTCAGAGCCCTAACCTCCACAGCAGTTTTTTAAAAATCTTTATGTGTGTGGATGTGTGTGTTTGTGTGTGTTGTGCCCAAATTCTGAACCCCCAAATCACCAAGAGACCTGATTCGATGCAAAAGTCAAGTCTTTTATTAACGAGTTAACTGCGTTAACCTGGTTCCTCCATCCGTCTGGCACAGGGGTGAAGCAAGAAGGACCAGGAGGGACCCAGGGGCAGGGATTTTATTGGGGGCAGAGCAAGGGGAGTGTCTAGGGGTCCACAACAGTCTCAGGACTGGTGCTCTTCCGGGCTTGGGCGACCTGGCCTGTGTTGATTGGTCAACCGGTTGCTATGGCCTACAGGCCCTCCCAGGGCAGTTGCTATGCTCTGTGTGCCACCGTTACTCTAAAGCACATCCAGAGCCCGCCAACTAACTTCTGATTGGTTCCTTGCCACATGGAGGTATCTGGCTTCCTACTGCTTCCTAAGTGACTTAAGAGGTCCAGGCAGTGTCAGGAAGCTCAGCCCTTGCGACTGAGTCAGGGGCCTACATCTTGTTGGGTCTTTTCTGCAGTCTGTCATGGCTGCCAAAGTCATGGTCCCTTCACATGTACACATGAGTGCAATGCCCATGGAAGCCAAAAAAAAAAAATGGTGCTGGAGCTGGACTTAAAGGTGGTTGTGAGCGGCCTGATGTGTATTCTTGAACGTAAACTTGGGCCGTCTGCAAGGACAGCAAGTGCTTGTAATTGCTAAGTCATTTCTTCAGCTCCCAACGTGTGGGGTGTTTTCACGCAAGGGTTTCTATTGCTCTGATGGACACAGGACCAAAACAACTTGGAGAGGGACAGGTTTGCTTTACCTGACAGTCCCTCATCACTGAGGGAAGGCGGGGCAGGGACTCCAGGTGGGCCTGAAGCAGGCACAGAGGGTGAGCCCTGCTTACCAGCTTGCTCAGCCTCCAGCCGTGTACACGAGCGCGCAATGGCCGGGCCCTCCTGCCCGCGTCCTGTTTTGGGAGGGTCTGTGGAGGAAAAAGGGTCACTCCACACTTAGCGAAAGCAGCAGTGTGAGCCAGGTTCTGCTGAACTGACTACTAGCTGCTTCACAAAAAGCCTCTTTATTGTTACCCAATCAGCACCTTAGCAGGCAGTTTCCACATATCAAAACCTCTTATCCGGAGTTGTTTAAGGGAGCCATTTGCCCACACAGCCCTCAGCCAGGAGACCCCTTGGCTTGCCAGGTTCTCTCATTACTAGGTTTCAAAGGGCCTGGAGTCCTTCAGGGAGAACTCAGATAAGAATCACTGACTTCAATCAAAAGCCCAGGGGCTGTCACTCCCGAATTCAAGCCAAGTCAATGTGTCTGAGGAATCCTCTCTCTGTCTTACCCTTCTGCTTAAGTTATAACTAATTAATTACGTTGAAGATTATGTAGGCCTTACAGTAAATATAGCGTTTTCCCCTTATTGTTTTGTTTCACATCTTTTTTTTTTTTTTTTTTTTTTTTTTTTTTTTGGTTTTTACGAGACAGGGTTTCTCTGTATTGTTTTGGAGGCTATCGGTCCAGCCCTGCCTCGAACTCACAGAGATCCGCCTGCCTCTGCCTCCCGAGTGCTGGGATTAAAGGCGTGCGCCACCACCGCCCGGCCCTTGTTTCACATCTTAGGCAAATAAGCCCACACACATTTTAAAGCCAATAAAGTTATTACTGCTAGGACAAGGATAACAATCACTAGAACAAGAAATTATTAAAGTGATATACAGGATTGAACAAGGCTAACATATCTGCAAAGCTTTCCAAAATATCCATTCCTGTCTCATGAGGTAACCCTTCCGAAAAAGCTTCCTTAGTCTCTTGCTATAAATCACAGATCATTTAGGAAGAATTGGGGTGGCCCATCAAATGCGTTTTAAAAATCTCCCAGTCGTGCTTGCTATTACTGAGCCTTAAAGGTGCAATACAATGGGTGTACCATCCCCATCTCATGTTAATTTTATCTGTTCCTTCAGTAGTTCTAGCTGGTCTCCCATTAGGATAACAGCTTGTTTCAAATCAGCTCTCTTTTTTTTTATTGCACAGCCCTCCTGCCCCTCAAGGACACGGAGTTTATCCCATCTGATATGAGGAATGGCTTATTTTCTGGTGACCACATGGAACTATTTCAATCACCACTAGAAACAGCAGAGGGGATTTTTTTTCTGCTGAGAAATACACATGTACCTTTTTTTCTTTTTGTAAAAGTAAATGTAACAACACAGACTTGACAGGATTGATCCCAACCTTCCAGGGCCAGCAGCTCCTCTAGGATCAGAAAGGAAGGCAGTATGTTTAAATCACCATGTGAGTTACCTTCACCTTCTACTGGAATGGCTACAGCCCCCAGTTACCTAACTGTGGGACAAAACTTGGCTGCAGCTTCTCACTGGTCACACCACTGCATGGTTCCTCCCTGACCTCTTCCTAAAGCCGACCCTTAGCAAACACAGGACTAAGAAAAATAATCACTACCTCTCCTGGTAAGAGGTGCCGTCCCTGGATGTGGACCAAGAACCTGCACCCCAGCGGTGTTTTTCTGACTAGGTTCTATGAAGGGAGTGGGTGCAGGGGATAAAATACTAAATAAAAATGGGAGCCATGGGTCCCCATCTGCAACTACAACTTAAACTTAAGATTCTGAAGATGTAGTCAGTGTGGCAGGTGTTGGGGGAGGGTGCGGGAGGCTTAAATGGGCAGGGAGGAGGGTGTTAGGGTAGGAGTCTGTCTGCTCACCTTCACTTATGGACCTTGTCCTGAGCAGCCACAGCTTCCATGGCTTTCCACAGCTCCCATGGCTTTCCGCACGGTCTCTTCATCTCCCAGAAACTGCATGGGTTTGACAGGCTTCAAGTTCTTGTCCAATTCATAGACAATGGGAATGACGGTCGACAGGTTCAGCTCCATGATGGCCTCTTCTGAGAGCCCCTCCAGATGCTTGATGCCCTGAAGGCTGTTGCCATGGGCTGCAATCAGGACTCTTTCCCCCTCCTTGATCTGAGGGACAATTTCTTCATTATAGAAGGGCAGAGCTCTGGCAATAGCATCCTTGAGGCTCTCACAGGAGGGTAGCTGGTCCTCAGTAAGGTCTGCGTACCCGCGATCCTTACTGATGTTGCTGTAGAAGGGATGATCAGGCTCCATTGGAGGCGGTGGGACATCGTAAGATCGCCTCCAGATCTTTACCTGCGCCTCATCATGCTAAGCAGCAGTTTCTGCTTTATTGAGACCAGTCAGACCCCCATAGGGTCGCTCATTGAGGCGCCAGA